TGAAAGTTGGCATTTCAGGCCTCAGTGGCTAGTTTTATTTTCTTCTCTTTGTGTCCAACTGGTTTTGGAACTTTTGTTTCCAATAACAGCTACAAAACCACATGAGCAGAGCTTTTGTGAGGTTTTCTGCGTGACCAAAGCAGGGTTGGTGATGTGACAACTGCCTCAAAGATTTTCTTAGGAAAGAATAGATCATCATCTTTGGAGAAAGAATTTTTTTTCCCCTTTAAAAGATTCAACAAATTATTTCAGTTTACCAAACTTGATGCCATCATTTCGATGTTTTAATCAGGTCAAAACTTCTGGCTACTTGCTTATATGGAAGATATATTAGTACCATTATAAAAGAAAAAATAAAAGTTAGATAGATATGCCCGTTTCCCTGGGATCTTAACAGAGCTCACAGAAAGAAGGAAGTGTAGCTAATGGGAATTAAAAGAAATCAGAACGTTCTTCTGAGTTATCATAAGTCAAGGGGAAACTAAAAGGTGAGAAGAAAAGAAAAATAACCTTGCTCATCAAAAGTTTAGAATTTTTAGTCATTAAGTCAATTTTTAGTGGTGAAATTGCATAATCCCTAAAACTGAATTTTAGAAATAAACTTTTGTTAGATCTTTCCCTCCTAAGTGGAGGAACCCACAGCAATCTCTAGGGAATAAAGTACCCAGACCTTTTCAGATCACTCTGAAAGGCAGTTTTTTTAAAATTTATTTATTTATTTTAAAGATTTTACTTATTTATTCATGAGAGACAGAGGGAGAGAGAGAGAGAGAGAGAGAGAGAGAGAAGCAGAGGGAGAAGCAGGCTCCCAAGGAGCAGGGAGCCCAATGCGGGACTCGATCCCAGGACCCTGGGATCATGACCTGAGCCGAAGGCAGATGCTTAACCATCTGAGCCACCCAGGCACCCCTGAAAGGCAGTTTTAATAAGATGAGTTGTTCCGGGGGCGCCTGGGTGGCTCAGTCGGTTAAGCATCGGCCTTCAGCTCAGGTCATGATCCCAGGGTCCTGTTTTTGAGCCCTACATCGGGCTCCCTGCTCAGTGGGAAGTCTGCTTCTCCCTCTCCCTCTCCCTCTGGCCCCGCCCCTGCTCATGTGCTCTCTCTTTCTCTCCTCTCAAATAAATAAAATCTTAAAAAAAAAATAAGGTGACATGTTCGGCACAAATCTATAGGTTCCTCTCCTCTCATTTCCTGGGGGAGCGTAAGTTAGGAGAGTGCAGGTCTTTCTTGCTGAAACTTTTGAGGAATCCCCTGGGTGTAATTGTTCCTAGAGGTAGAAGAACAGACAGAACAGCCTGACTTAGTCTGCAGAGATCAGATAGATCTCCGATAGATAACTCAATCTGCTGAAATAAATGTCCATTGACATCACCACAACTACCTCCTCATGTACATTTCTATCTACATGTCTGCCTGTCATATGGATAAGAAATCAGAAAGTTCTACTTTTAACAAATATATTTAGTAATTCTCAAAAACAGATCCCCAAGACACCAAAAGAGTAGGCAGGCACGAGGGTACATTGAACAACATCATTAACTGGTAAAGAAGAAATGAGACACAAGACTAAAAAAATACTTTGGAGTTCCAACTCCCACTCAACCTCTTCTGAAGCAATCCACTTCTCTCTCTACCTGCTGCCACCACCATAGTCCAGGCCAGTGTGAGTTCCAGTCCGGATTAGTATGATAATTTCTGATTGAATTCACTCATGTTCTGCCTGCCTTATCCCTATCCAATATCTGCACTGTTGCTATTATCCTTTGGCTTAACATCTTTCAATGGCTCTATACTGTCTGTTGGATAAAATCTCCTTGTGGTCTCACAAGCCATCAGGACCTTCCTGATTGATGGGCTCTACCTCACTCCTTAGAGTGCTTAGAGCGCTCTCTTTGCTTCGACTCTAGCCTTTCTGTCTTATCAATCAGATCTTTTGCATTAAGGTTTTTTTTTTGTCTTTTCTACCTTTTATCTCCTTATTTTTTCCTCTTTCACCTCTTCCCCAGTAGTAGTTCTTATGCCTACAAAACAAAACAGTGAAACACCCCAAAAGCCTAAACAAAGAAATAAGATCCTATGGTTAGAGGATTGGTGATGAGAGACTTCTTCTGAGGCCAATATCAAGGTTATGGTCCCATGATGATCATGAGCTGTTTGTCTAATGTTAGGCAGAAGGCTCCCTCACTCAAACACTTTTTACTTGGTCTTGGAGAAAGAAAGTTTAGAGCAACTCAACTAGGTAGGAGGGACCATGGATGAGATTCTTTGGAAGCCACCTGAAAGCTCCCTTTTAGGATTTCCTTTCACATCAACTAGGTGAGTTTGGCTGCATCTCAGTGAATCCCTGCTCCAACACACATAATTCAGTTTGAGCAATGGGTGTAGGCGCCTTACACAATTTCACAAATCAGCGAGGAAGGCTGAATAAATGGCAGAGATGTTTTCCTCTATCACATCCAAAAACCTAAACCTATCTATCACAACTGAACCAGAGATCAGATCTTGTTCATCTTTCCGATCTTCCTGCCTCAGCCTTATTGTTCTGTGAAGCCTTTCTTTTTCTCACTGCTTTGTAGTCTTCTAGCACCTTGCCCATACTCCTCTTAGACTGCAGTCATCACAAGCTATTTGCTGATATGTCTGCCTTTCATAAAAAATGTAACTACTGCAGGACAAGCTTCACTGAAGATAAGCTCATAGTAAGAGCGCTTTGAAGAATTTGAGAAAAAATCTGCTGTGAAAGAGAGCTAGTAGACATCATACCCAGGAGAATTAGCATCCCAAAATTGAAGACCAAAAAACAATCTTAAGAAAACTACAAATTACATATATTTAAAAATATCAAAGAGATAAAGAATTAAAAACCAGACAAAAGATCAAGCTGCTTGTGAAATCCAAGCAGTTTTGAAGAAGAACCAAATTAAGCTTCTGGATATGAAAACTGTAATTATAAAAAAATAAGTTCAGTGGTTGGGATAAATAGTAGATGAATGTCAATTAAAATGGGAACCAGAGAACTGAAAGATGGAGTTGAGTAAATTGCCCAGAATATAATAGAAAGAGAAATAAAATGGTTTTAAAAAATTATGAAGTGATGTTAAGATATAAAGAAGATAGAATGAAGGGATAGAATGAGGTATTTGGAAAGAGAAAATAAAAGAGGGGGAGACAGTATTCCAGGGGATAATGACTAGGGAGTTTTCAGAATTGAAGAGGGATATGAACCCTCAAATTCAAAAATCATAATGGGTACCTAACACTAAACCCAAACGAACTCCCAAATACAAACAAACAAATAAAAATACACAACCACACTAGGATGTATTATGGTGAAACAAACAAACAAACAAACCAAGAAAACCCCCACAACCCAAAAATGAAGTCCAGAGACAAAAAGAGATTTCTTCTAGAGAGGAATATAGTTAGGCTGACAACAGACTTCCTATTAATAGTAGTACTACCAATAGACATTAGATGAGACTAAAATCACATGTCTAAAGTGCTGAGGAAAAGCAACCCTCAATCTAGGATTCTTTTTTTTTTTTAAAGATTTTATTTATTTATTTGACAGAGAGAGACACAGCGAGAGGGAACATAAGCAGGGGGAGTGGGAGAGGGAGAAGCAGGCTTCCTGCTGAGCAGGGAGCCCGATGTGGGTCTCGGTCCCAGGACTCTGTTCTGAAGGCAGACGCTTAACGACTGAGCCACCCAGGTGCCCTCAATCTAGGATTCTAAACCCACTAAGCTATCATTTAAGACCACCAGCAAAATAAACACATTTAATTTTGTTTGTGAGAAGTTTTGTTACAGATAAGCCTGAAAAACTGCTGAAGATTTTCATCATTCAGAATGAAATCAATTAAGAAGTGGAATACAAAGAACCATGTCTTGTAAAGAAATTGATAATTCAAATAAATATTGACAAAAATATAACAAAATTATTTCTAACTAGTTGGAGATTTTTATTTATTTATTTTTTAAAGATTTTATTTATTTATTTGACAGAGAGAGACACAGTGAGAGAGGGAACACAAGCAGGGGGAGTGCGAGTGGGAGAAGCAGGCTTCCCGCCGGAGCAGGATGCCGATGTGGGGCTTGATCCCAGGACCCTGGGATCACGACCTGGGCCGAAGGCAGACGCTTAACGACTGAGCCACCCAGGTGCCCCTAGTTGGAGATTTTTAAAAATGAATCTAAAATATTGACAATAATTTGAAATGAAGAGGCAGTGATAAAATCAAGACATTAAAGAAAATGTTCCAAGGACCTTGCATTGATTGGAAGAAGGCATTTGAAATAGAAATAGATTATGTAACTCAAAACCAATAGAAAAGGTAGATGAAAGAAGACTGGATGAATCCAGTGGAAGTAATCCATGGAGAAAGACGAAAGTTAATCAGGCAAAACAAAATAGATGGTTGACATAAATCCAAAGAGATAGAAGTATAAACAATTAAACCTTCCTGATGATAAATAGAGATGATCAGATCTAGTTAAAAATCAATCAATTGTAAATTCTTTGGTTTGTAAAAGCTGGGAAGTTCCATTAAAGAGGTTGATTGTAAGTTAAACAAAAATAACCCTGAAGCTTCAGGGCTCCTATTTGGAGATAAAATGTCATGTCATTTTACCAAGAATAATAATCTCTGCTCCTCCTCCCCCAAAAAATCATGTATCAATTTTCAAATCAAAGGTACATTATACATTTTTTTCACAAATGATATGATCATCTACAAGAAAGCCACAAAGAATCTGAAGATTAACTATTATAAGCATTTAAGGGTTTATATCAATTTGCATTCCATACATATGCATAAACTGAAAGTGTAATAATAAGAAGAAGGTAGCATTTACAATAGCAGAAAGAAAAAAGTGAAAAAGAGAAAAGTAAGATACCTAGGAGTAAATCTTATAACATTTATATGTTTAAGATCTGAATAGAAAAATTATAAGGGGTCCTCAAAAAGATATTGAAGAGTGCATTTGCTAATTGTTCGAGACATATAAAGATACAAGGCTGAGAATAACGAGGCCTGCTCTGCATTCTGTAGAGACTGAGGATCTGCATCGCAGCAGCTCCAAGAGCAGAGTAGCCCTAGCTCCAGTGCCTCGAGGTCCTGATGCCTGTCAGATGAAAACCAGAGCGCAGCTCGGCCAGGATCCCCCACAGAGAACAGTGCTGACTGATAATGGGCAGTACAGGAGGACCTGTGGTCAGGGGATCACAACAATCAGGTGTTTCTCTGGATCAGAAAATGTCTTCCCTCCAGCTGGAAAGAAAGTGCTCTCAGTCCAGGTGCCAGCCAAGCAAGGATTTGATATCTACATGGATGAGATACTGCATGGTCCAGGAGCCAACCAAGCAAGGATTTGATATCTACATGGATGAGATACTGCATGGTCCAGGAGCCAGTCAAGCAAGGATTTGCATGCTACCTGGATGAGTCTGAGAAGAGGGACAGAGACAGCTGTACAGGGAAAGAGGAGATGACATTTGAGGTTGTGTATGAGGTAGACACCAGCACACTCAAGTCAGACCTTCACTTCCTGCTGGATTTTAACACAGTTTCCCCAGTGGTGGTAGATTCATCTCTCCATTCCCAGTCTGAAGATGCATCAGATTTTGGTACAGATGTGATAAATGTGACTGAATATGCTGAAGAAATTCATCAGTACCTTAGAGAAGCTGAAATAAGACACAGGCCTGAAGCACACTGCATGAGGAAGCAACCAGACATCACAGAAGGCATGTGAACTATTCTGGTGGACTGGCTTGTTGAGGTCGGCGAAGAGTATAAGCTTCGAACAGAGACTCTCTATCTGGCTATCAACTTCCTGGACAGGTTTCTTTCATGCATGTCTATTCTGAGAGGGAAATTGCAGCTTGTAGGCACAGCAGCTATTCTTCTGGCTTCGAAATATGAAGAAATATATCCACCTGAAGTAGACGAGTTTGTCTACATAACTGATGATACTTACACAAAACGCCAACTGCTAAGAATGGAACATCTGCTCCTGAAAGTCCTGGCTTTCGATCTCACAGTGCCAACCACCAACCAGTTTCTCCTTCAGTACTTAAGGAGACAAGGAGTGTGCGGTCAGAACTGAGAATCTGGCCAAGTATGTAGCAGAACTGAGTCTTCCTGAAGCTGACCCATTCTTGAAATATCTTCCTTCATTGATAGCTGCAGCAGCTTATTGCCTGGCCAACTCTACTGTGAACACACACTTCTGGCCAGAAACCCTTGCTGCATTTACAGGCTCTTCATTAAATGAAATCGTGCCTTGCCTGAGCGAGCTGCATAAAGCATGCCTTGATATAGCCCATCGATCACAGCAAGAAATTAGGGGGAAGTGTAAGGCTTCAAAGTACATGCACGTGTCTCTGATGGAACCACCTGCAGTTCTCTCTCTGCAGTAAGTTTCCTACGGAAGCACTTTCAGAGCTTCACCTCCAGATCAACTGAATTCGTCTTAACTTTTATAGGTTTCTGCAGGTTAGGTCAACTAGTGTTGCTACAAGATAGATGCCATATTTTTTAAAAATGTAAATGTGGTTAGGTCTGCTTAGACATTAGTAACTTGTAATATGTAACATTTTTTAAAGAATAGACAAACAACTTGCCTTGTGGAAAAAAAAGATATTGAAGAAAACCCAAGTAAATGGAGAGATACATTGTCTTAGTTCATTTGGGCTGCTATAACAGAATAGACTGGGTAGCTTACCCATAGACTGAGTAGCTTATAAATAGAAATTTATTTCTTACAGCTTTGGAGGCCGTGAGTCCAAGATCAAAGTGCCAGCATTGTTGCATTCTGGTGAGGATCTTCTTCCCGGTTCACCTTCTCATTGTATCCTTACATGGTGGAAGAGGCTGAGGACCTCGGTGGGGTCTCTTTTATGAATCACTAACCCCATTTATGAGTGTTCCATCCTTATGACTTATGCACCAACCAAAGGCCCCACCTTCTAATGCTGTCATCTTTGGGAGTTAGGATTTCAACATATGAATTTTTTTGGGGGGGGAACAAATTTTCAGGCCATAGTATACAGTATACATGATATTCATGAGTAGAGACTCAATTATTAGAACAGTGTTACTTGTTTCCCCTTCAGTCTTTTAGGTAGAACCATAAGAAATTGTCATCTTTGTAGGTCAGAACAATTTAATTTCAATGTCAAAAGGTTTAAATTAATATATAGATGCAATTGTATTTCAGATAAAAATAAGTTTTTATAGAACTTTGCAATTTAATTCTATAATTTGTATGGAAGAACAAAGGCTCAGGAATAGTCAAGACAGTGCTGAAGTAGTACAGCAAGGTAAGGGGACATCAGTCAGGTGCCATAACTTATTATCCAGTAATAGTAATTAAGGTAGTGTAGCACTGGCCAGGAAGAAACAATTAACCAGTTGAAAAGAATAGAGAGTTCCTAAAGGATCCCATCCTGTTATTGCCCATATGGGACAGGTTATCACAGATCACTGAGCAATGGTAGACTGTTCAATAAATGGTGGTGGGATAATCCAAAAATGTGTTAACAGTGAGAACTCAAATCGGCAGACAATACTAAGCTCTTCTAAAGTAAGAAGAAATGCTGATATAAGGAAATTACAGGAAGATCTTTTATGGCCATTGATGTAAAAGTGGCAGATGAGTTTCAATGTTTCCGATTTGCCTATCCCATGCCACAGAAGCTGCCCTTTGGTGTTCAAGTCTGGTTCAGGTGGAGGTAAATTCTTTATTTTCTTTTCTGAACCCTCTTTCTTAGACTTTTTGTTTGTGAGCTGCAGGTACAGTTGGAAGGTAGGGATACAAACAGGTGGCAAAACACATGATAAGGTTTTGATAGACTCAAGGAATCAATAACCTTTGGTTAAACAAACTTATTCAGGATTCAGCTCAGAATATTCTGTGCCCATAACATGCCAGCCCATACCTCCTGTCCTTTAGCACAGGACTAAATGGAGGTTCACATTTATTAGTGAAAATCAGATGTTTTTTTTAAAAGTTAATCTGGTGCAACAAATATCATACTAAAGAATTCCCAAAGCAAATAAAATATTTTATTACTCACTCTCTTGAAATAAATGTTAAATGATAAAGTTGAGCTCATCCACATGATGTTCTTTGAAATCTTAAATTAGCTCATTGATAAAACTGTTTTTGCTGAGTAACACAGTAAAGACTCTGCTATCTATTTGGGTATCGTTAAAGGATGAACGAGCATATTGAAATATTACACTGTTAGCAATGTAAATGAGTTAGCTAAAAATAATTTAAAAGCACTTGACAAAAATTAAAGTGCACAGAGACATCACTACCATGGATCTAACAATGGCCAATGAACAGCTCGAAGCAAGAAGTGAAAGAAGCTTTTCTATTTCCAAAAAGGAATTTGTATCAGTTATCCCATGTGCAGCCTCCTAGGTGTCCACGTACCTGGACTCTGCATCCTCAGTTTAGATGTGAAATTAGTACTCCAAAAATTGTTATAATCGAGGTGATTACATCTCAAGCTAAATATAATCCTCCAACCAAACAACCCATTGAAGATCATGCAGCAGAATTAAGATTTCAAATTTACCACAAGTCCCAGAAGTTTACATCTCTCAAATAAATGCATTCCATGCAAAAGCAAACAAAATAGCTTTTCAACATAAGAAATCCTTTGAGTTTCAAAAAAACTCCACCAAAGCCAAGTAAGTACTTCATCATGCAAATCAACGATTTTCAGGAAGAAGGCCAGTCAGCAGCATGCGTGGATGATACTGAGAAAAGCAGAGATTGTTTTCATTTTCTCGGCAGGACGAATTCCCCATGCCACAGATTAAATGACCCCTCCTTCCCCATATAGTTTAATAAAAGGGATGTTTTAAAGATTTTTTAAAAAAGATTTTTTTTAAAAGATTTTTTATTTATTCATTTGAGACACACAGATACAGAGAGAGAGAGAACATTGGCAGGGGGAGGGGCAGAGGGAGAGGGAGAGGCAGGCTCCCCGCTGAGCCAGGAGCCCTATGTGGGGCTCGTTCCCAGGACCCTGGGATCATGACCTGAGCTGAAGGCAGACGCTTAACCATCTGAGCCACCCAGGTGCCCCTAAAAAAAGATATTTTAAATGAAGCAGATCTCAAATTCCTTTCCTGTAACCTCTGAGTTAGCATTAAAAAGAGTAGTTTTGGGGGTGTCTTGGTGGCTCAGTCAATTGGGCGACTGACTCTTGGTTTCAGCTCAGCTCATGATCTGGGGGTTGTAAGATTGAGCCCTGTGTCAGGCTCTGGCTCAGCACAGAGTCTGCTTGGGATTGTCTCTTCCTCTCCCTGCTTGCGCATGCTCTCTCTCTAAAAATAAAGAAATAAATCTTAGAGAGAAAAGCAGTTGGGGTAAAATGGATATAGGCAAATAACATTGGTGTTCCTGAATGTGGTGACCACCGATTACTGATTCAATTGTTTCGGAAAAACTTCGAGTCTTAGAAATGGGTATAAAGGGTTATGTTCATCACTGTGGCCAAAGTCCGCCACCATTGAATGCATTACTAATATATCCAGGGACTGAAAAATATTATTAGGTTCTGATTATTCAGACTCCAGAATGGAGAGAAAAGAGGGCTGACTACAGTTAAAATTGTGACTGATTCTCAAGATAACAGTGTTCATGGAGGCCCAAATATGGCTTTCAGGGGCTACATGGGAAGGGAGTGCCACACTGAGTAAGTACATACTGGATAAAGGCCTTGTCTGGGCATGAATGACAGAGACCAGGATAGTGAAGAAATGCGGTAGATAAATTTTCTATATTTGGGGTATTATAGCCCCTAGAAGATTTTAGGGCAGAGAATTAAGGAGGAGAGTGAAAAGCATTTTAATAAGTGTATTATATGTTTGGATCTAGTCTAATATTAAGATTTTTGAGTTTCTTAAATTTCTTAGAGTCAGAACTAAGTTTTCTGAAATGTGACCCTATTCTAGAACTCGACTACTGGGGTTTCCAAGTACTTAAGGCATTTGTTGTCTTGTGATGATGAGAAACCTGGCAGGTGAGAGAAATTCACTGCACAGGTCTTTAGAGAAGGCGTATATAAAGTCCTGGCTCCAACTCAACGCAGCAGAGGGCCACAACCCCAGCACTAACCGAGCTATCGTCAATGTTTGATTTGGAAATCATTTGCAAATAGTCTACCCCATAAAATGTGGAAGTTTCTTAGAGGCTTAGAGAAAGTTGGCAAAGGAATCAAGCAGTTATTACTCCATGCTTCACCTTAGCCTAGAAAAATGTTGAGAGGAAAAACCTCAGGCCTAAAGTAAGGGATGCGATTACCCTCACTACCAGAGAAGTCATGACATTGAGTATCACCCTATAATGCTTGGGTGCATCACCTGGCCCAGCATGCTCTGCAGTGTTGGGGTTAATGTAGAGCATGAAATCAGCCATAATACCTGGCTTGCTAAAATGTAACACGGAGGCCACTGGGGGCAGGGAAGGTTTCGGAGAAGGGCATAGGCTTTAGGAATGCTGAGGCCTGTGTGACAACTCTGGCGTAGGAATGCTGCCGGGAGTGGCCGTCCTGAAGCTTTCTCAGCCCAAACAGCCACCCTGTGATCTAAGAGATGTCTGCATTGTCCCTTAAGCTATGTTTAGCAGAACTCCTAGAACATGCAGATTAGCATATCTTTCCCATAAACAGATTCTCCTAGTTCCAGTAAGACCCCTTGTCACACATCACATGCTTGAGGAACAGTGATAAGGATTTGTGATTATCCTGAAGGACCCATAAAAGTGGAGCAAAGAAGAGCAAAAGGTCTTGTCTCTGAACGTTGACCCCCTTGCATTCTCCTCTCTTTCACAGCAAAGTTTGGAGTCATGTTTCCACCATTATGTACAGGAGTGCTGGCTATTCCCGGCACCCCAGAAGGAAGGAGTTAGGATCTCTCTTGAAGTAGGTATAGGCAAGGCCATACAATGAACTTTTGTGGATACTTGATCATTTATCAGCAATATACCCAGTCTTCTGGCCTTTACTCCGATCACACTAGTATGACTGCTTGCTCTCTACTCTCCCAAGTTCTAATTGCTCAGAATTTGCCTTTTCCCAATAGGCAAACACTGTCGTAAATGGTTTTGTTTCTTTTGAACTTGCAGCCTATCTTTAACTGACTGTTTTGTAAAATAATGATAATTATGTACTAAAAGATTTTAAAATGCCCTTTAAATCTTTATAGAAATATTAATTTTTAGCACAGATTTTATGGCAATGCATTTCTTAGTACATACTGCAATGCTAGGTTAGCTAAATCATTTAATCAGTGAACCATCCTATTTCTTTATTATATCATATAATAGAGAGCTCATTGTCATTTCCATTCATTACCTAAAACCTTATATTATACTAGAAACAGAATTGTGAGCATCTAG